TTGATTCTATTCCTTTTAAATCTCTCTCTATTATTAAAGATAGTGAATTATGCAAACTTTCTAAAATGCATGCATTATTATTCAACCGCAACAATTCAATTTTTGCTTATACGTTTGATCTAGTACATATTATTATCTGGGATTCAGTTCCTTTCGCATCAAAGAGGATGTAATAGTATTATGTCATTTTTATTGATGATCACTTCAGATATTCATGAGTTTTCTTTATGAATAATTACAATTAACTATATGACATCTTTGTCCAGTTTTATTTGTATATTGAAGCTCAGTTGTTTACCAAGATCAAAGCCTTATGACCAAATTCTGCTGGGGAGTATATTAATGGGATGTTTCAAAAAAAAGGTTTGGAAAAAATATTCAACACCAAAGATCTTGTTCATATGCTTCTGAACAAAACGATATTGCTAAACACAAATAACTACAAGTGATCTTGCCATAAATTGATCGCCTCTAGCCTTGGAATGAGCCCAAATGATGGTGGTTTCCCCCGACGACCTTACTTTGTTTCTTTGCCTGTTCGTGTCGTTTAGATGCACAGGCTCGCAGGGTCACATGCCCCCTTTCAGTATGATGCCATGTCATGGCAAGTTCGGGATTAGAGGTACGGTTTTTGGGCACCAAATTCTCAAAGTACCAGGGTACTATGGGTGTTTGAATGGGTTTGGTGGATGGGGCATGACATCGGATGATAGCATGTATAAGGGCTTGTAAGGGTTTGAGTTTGAGTGTATGGTTAGGAATGGGTGCAGGTCTAAGAGTGGGTGGATGGCTAAGAGTGGTTGCAGATCTAACCATGAGGGGGAGGGGGGGGGGGGAGGTGGGGGGCTGGGGGAGAGGGTAGCTAAGTGTGGATAGCGGTCTATGCATGGATGAAGGTCTAGCCGTGGATGAAGGTTTGGGGGGCTGGGGGAGAGGGTGGCTAAGTGTGGATAGCGGTCTATGCATGGATGAAGGTCTAGCCGTGGATGGATGGCTAAGTATAGGTGGAAGAGGTCTAAGAGTCGGAAAAAGGTCTAAACATGGGTAAAGGTCTAAGCGTGTGTGGATGGCTAAGAGGGGTGGAGGTCTAAGCAGAATTCCTCAATGGAGTCACCAGAAAGGATGATCGCGTCAATCTAATGCCCTCACGCATGCGTATTCGTGTGTGCTTGTATGTTTTTATCGAGCTAAATAGAAGGCAATCGCCATAGATACAATAAAATAGAAGTAAAAATCCATTCAATTAATAGGGGTGCGTAAGTTCTTACAAGTGTGGGCCGTAGCCGAATCGTCTTAGACCACTTGGCATATTTGATCTTAGGGAAGGCCCACCCAACCTTAATGGTCTTTTGGTGGATCGGTTCAAGTGCACTTTTTCTTCAAGGGTAATTTTAAGTGAGAAGGAAAATGTGACTGGACACAAGAACCCATGCAATCTAAAAGGGGGAGCCAAACCAATTCGGGTCGAACTCCGGCTTCGATCTGATTTCCTACTTTGATTCTCCCTTTGGCTGTTTTGAGTTTTTATAGGGGTAATTTGGATGATTTTGGTGCCTTAGGATTATGAGAATTTGTTATTTTTTGAAAATATTTAGATATTTTCTATTTATTAGGGGTATTTGGATATTTTAGATTTTAGTGAGAGGTAATTTAGGTGTAGCAAAGTTTTCTCACTCTAAGGAAGAAGATAGGAGGTTTTTTCTCTTTAAAGGAAATGGCAAAGTAAAATTTCTCCAACCTTACAAATTAAGCTTAAGTAGGTATTTATAGACATGGGAAACAAGGTTGGATTATTAAGAGTGGGTAGGTGGAAAATCAAAACTAAGGGCTAAAGGAGGTTGGATTATCAAAAATAAATCCGAGCTATAGTTTGAAATGATTGAAAAGGATACTCAAACTTGCGACTTTTCAATGTTTTTTTCCTTTTAAAAGCCGTCTCCCACCTTCCTCCACCAAACAACCATTGAATCGGGTACTTTTTCGACCTTTCTCGACCAAAATATTCCTGGAAAATCATAGAACAATGTGCCACAACCATCTTATGACAAATTTGAGCGAAAACCACAGCTTTTTGGCTAGATATGATCATTTTAAGTTTTGATTTTTCACTTTCGGCTAAAACTCCTTCCCCTTTTCTAAGCCTTTTTATTATGCTCTTAGTCGGCCACCATTCGACAATCCTCTACCAAACTTTTGTGGGGAATCATATTAATTATCATTTCACAAAAATTTCGACGCAAATGATTGCAGTTTCGTCGAGTTGTGACCATTTTTCTTTTTTCTGAAAATGAAAATTCTACAAATCTCATTTTTTAGGCAACTTCTCTCTTGAATCAGCGTCTTTTTTTGTGGTAAATCTTATATTAGCTCAAATCACTGCATGTATCATGAGATATCACTAAAGAGTGAGGAGAGGTCATGGGGCTGCTACACGTTCATTTGTTACAAACCTTCAAATTCTTGACTCAATTTGATCTCGATTCGAGTGGGGAACCCCATCAAACCATATATGGATAAAAAGCCCATTTAGCAATGAACAACATATATGGATAAAAAGCCCAGTTAGCAATGAACAACATATATGGATAAAAAGCCCATTTAGCAATGAACAACATATATGGATAAAAAGCTCATTTAGCAATGAACAACATATATGGATAAAAAGCCCATTTTTTGGCCTACTGTCATTTCCATGAAGAAGATGAACCACTTCTACAGTATAGTCCTACTCAATGTTTTGGTGGTCATTTGATTGTCTGCCGAATATTGCCCTAGAAAATGGTGCTTTCCAATGTGGAATCGACCCCAAATTTGAGATTTAGGATCCTAAGCATGGTGCCTTTCTTCCATAAAACTCCAGCCATGTTCAATGATGCACTTCATGGGCTTGCTTTGTAAAAATAGGAAGATTGGGGGTGAGATCTATGCTTAGGAACCTAAGAAGAAATCTGACAAACCGCATCCAAACCATATGGTCTTTGATTTAATTGAAATTTGGGATTTGCTGTCTTTGAAATTGTATCTTCCTATCACAAAAGCTTCAAATCATTCGACCATGGATTTCATAGGCTTCTTTTGTAAATTGGGGCCGATTAGAAGATCTTCACTAGGCTTTTAATTTAGGTGGGCAAGATTTTAGTAGTCCACAATCAGATCGACCTAATTTTTGGAGGATAGGCTTTGAGCATTTAGTATTAAAGATCTCGAGGTCAGATTCCGGTTTTGAGCCGGTTTGACCCCAGTTTGACTGGTCTCTCTTTTGGGTCCTCAAATCACCATTTTGAGTGCACAATTAGCTCGGATTTTCTTCGCCCTTGGTCGAGAGATCCCTCTCATCCTTTCAGGGGGACCTTCCAATTCTAAGCTCTATTTGAGGTTGATTTCATTGGTTGTACTCGGTTCTAAAGATTCCTATGGTATTCTATTGGTTATCATGTTGGGTCTTGGTTTGGCCAATCGGCCCTATGAGTTTCACCTGATGGGCTACTATTTCGACTCAGTTCTTTATTTCTTCTATTCGGGGTGGTAAAAGGCCCTTAAGAAGGTAGAATTAGAGGTTTAACTTCCTCCGGAATGTACCCCATTGTTTGTGCTCCATGGCTACAAGGACTACCCCTCGATGATTTTATTTTCTTCAAAATGCCCTTAAGAACACAGTCCAAATTATATTGTACCCAAGAAGTCCACATATTCCACAGTACTGGATGATGCTACCGACCATGTATTATTTTGTGAGTCTCAATTTCCTTGACGGTCTTGTTTGAACTTGTCGCATGATCCCGTCCCATCTTTTTCTCCCCTAAACCGCTAAGGGTGAGGTTCAACACGAAATTTTACAAGTTTTCCTATTATGTACTTTTATATTGTTGAGCGATTGGACTGGGCAGTGAATCAGTGAGAAATTTGGTTTAATCAAAATCGATTTGACTGTTATTAAATAAGCTAAGTATGTTCAATTTTGCTTGTCTAGTCGGACCAGCAGAATTATTCAAACATTGATTTGCACCAATTTCGACTAAACTCAATTTTTACTTTGTGTTGAACTAGTTATTACACTAGGCAATCTGAACGGTCGGATGTATCAGCCAATGTGATGAGGTATTCATAACTTTGTGTTGATGAAGAACCGTAAGTTTCAAACATGGGAATTTCACAAACCAAGCATCCAAACGTATTCTTTTATAAGTCCAATAAGCAGTTTTCTGGCTTAAGCGGTGGTCATGAGTGATAATATGAATGGCGGTTTTGGTATTTCTTGTGCGAGTACTTTCCGATTTTCTCTTTTTGGACGGCTTGTTTAGTATCCTTGTTAGCAAGGCGACACTACACTACTGGTCTTTTAGTTCTCGAGTACAAAATAGATACATCTCGATTTCTTACCCTTCAATTATTCGTAGCCCCTTCTTAGGATAACATTGTCAAACCCACAGGTATTTCAAAAGCAAAGCGTGTAAAAAGTATTGGTTAAAAGTTGGAAGAAGTCCAAAAAGTACCAACCCGGGGCTGACAATGGGCTGCCCGGCTCTAAAACAACAGGACCTGGGCCACAACGTGTGGCCAGAGGGCCAGGCTAGGGCCAGTGCCAGCCCTGTTCAGCCCAGCCCTGACCTTTTTTCTTTTTCTTTCCTTTTTTGTTTTTGGCCTGATCCGGCCCTAGCCCTATAGGGCCAGGTCGAATAATCGAACAAGGGCCAGGCTTGGGGCGGGCCCGCCACCATTAAAACCTTCAAGCACAAATGAGAAGGAAAGCATCCAGCCACCCGAATCCTCACGTGTCCACAAACCAATTTTGCATTCAAACCCAAAATCACAAAACCCCTACACCAAAATAAACCAACAAAAGCATGAGAGAGAAGTGTGAGATCTGGTAAATAGGTCTACCAAACCACCATTATTTCACATCTCTTCATTCCAGCAGGAATAAAAATTCCTTTAGTCAACAAGAAGGGCACACATGTTTTCTAGTGATCATTTCTTTATTTATAAACTAAGGTGCACTTAGACACCAACAAACCAAACATGTCAATTGCAAATGAAAAAAGAGCTCTCTTATAATTAGCAAGACCATTTATCAGTCTCCCCTCTTAACCTAACACTACAGTGTCTCTCCTTGCCCACAAACATGAAGCCCGCTCAAGTGTAACGACCTTCACACTGCCTCTCTATTTCTTGTTAGTGTAACAAATGTGCGAACGGATACCGCACGCGACCTGCGTATGATGTATGCACAGTACACAGCTGGGGAATCCACTGTCATTTTCTCAATCTGCGTGCTGGAGATTATCTGACTTCAAGTGAAATACGTGTCAGATTTATGATCAATCTACATCATCCATAGTTGAGAATTGGTGGTTAGATGCTCCCACTACGGTACATTGTACCGTTGTCTGGAAGTTATACTTTCCCATTAAAGAAATGTACAAGAATGAACTCAATTTTCTGTCCTTTTCATGCAGGTTGATGAAAGAAGTGACTAACAGTGATCCTTGAGGTCCTGAGAGCAAAACAATGGCTGCAATCTCTTGGGCAGCTTTCGACATAGATAACTACTAGGGAATCATTTGTGTTCTGAAACAAAGGCTTGTTTCTTCATTTGAATGACAGATTTTCCCTTTCCTCTTTGTGGTTTGGGAGCCGATTTCTCTTTATACTACCCAAGTGACACCTCTCTCTGTTTCCGCAGACTGGTGGAGATAAAAAAGAAAGGGTGGCGACAATCATATAAGGTGTTGGCCCTTCTAGAGTACCTTATCACCCATGGTCCCAGAAGCGTTGCTCAGGATTTCCAAGAAGACAGAGCTGCTATTCAACAAATAGCCCATTTTCAAAAAAGGTGAACACTGGGCTACAAATCATGAGGTTTGAGTTTGACAATACTACTGATACCAGAGCCTAAGTGCTGTGGTGGGTGCATGATGCAGGTCTACAGTGAAAATTAAGGTGGAGAGAATTTTGCAACTACGTGGAAAGAATTACAAGCTTCTTGAGCAGGAAAGGGATCAAGCACGCGAAATCTCTCGAAAGATTACAGGCTTTGGGAACATAATGCACACGAAAAGATCAGATGGGAGCTGGGGCTCTAAATTTCCCTTGTTCCTGCATGATTGCTTTGGTGATCGTGGTGATGATTATGATGAAGTTGACTACTACTATATATCTTCCAGGAAAGAGCCCACTAGAACTCTTCCCACTACAAACCAACAAAAATGGTTGTGCTGGACTCCAACAAGAAAACTATAGTGGTAATGGCAGGTTCTCTAACCAAAAACGATCTAGTTCTATCAAATTCTTTGATGCCAGGAACTATAGTGAATTCAAGAATTGATGCAATCAACCATTAGATTTTGGCCCTAAGAGCTAACCAATCAAGCAAAGAATTTCTGATCTTTGAACATGCACCCTTCACAATGCACACACATTGGTGCAGAGAGATAGAGAGAGAGAGATATTGTAAGTGAACCCCAAGCTCAAGAAAACAGGGTCCAAGAAGACATTGGAAGCTCCTCTTTCATTGCTTAGTGAATTATATTTGCCCTGTGGTTTTTCCATTTTGAGAAAGCCCTTTCTTGCTCTATTGTTCTACGGTTTGCTTCCCTATCATTATCTTGCATTCTTTGTAATGGTTTTTTGTGATTGGTCTGCCCTCTTTTTGAACTTCGATATATTTCATGGATAGATTGAAAGGCTAAGTTCCCAACAACCGGTATTTAGAGATTTTTTTTGCCTTTTGCTTTTTTGCTTTTTGTTTTTTGCTTTTTGTTTTTTGTTTTTTGTTTTTTGTTTTTTTGTTTTCTGTTTTCTGTTTTCTGTTTTCTGTTTTCTGTTTTCTGTTTTCTGTTTTCTGTTTTCTGTTTTCTGTTTTCTGTGTTTTTTTTTTATAATGGATCCAAGTACAAGTAGGATGATAATGTTTAATGGGTGCACAAAGATTTGGAAATAAAGATGGAAAATATTATATCTTCAAACAAAGACTTCTATGTTCTCATCGAAGGGAAAACAAAGAAACTAGAGAATATATCAGAGGGAGGTTCAAAATTAGAAAGGAAAACAATTGTAAAGATCCAACAATGGCTGGATGATATAGCATTCAACCATGTGTCAAATGAAGAGATTTTAGAATCCTTGTGAAAAAAATTATAAGATTTATACCAGATGAAGACATTTGGGAATAAAGCTTTTCTAAATATGCAGTTGGTCAATTTCAAGTTTAAAGACTGGAACATTGTAGTTAAGCATTTAAATGAGATGCAAAGAACTATAAACAGCTATTATCAATGATGATGGTGTTAGATGATGAGCTACGTGCCTTGTTGCTTAGCTCATAGTTAGATGAAAAACATTGGTTGTTGCTCTTAATAACGCAGCACCCTAAGGAAAATTGGTTATGAGCCAATTGACCAGCTGCTTGTTGAATGAATAAAAAAAGAGAGAACCACTACGTTCTTATCAATCACAAGCTTTAGTTGCAAAAGCCAGAGAGAGAAGCAAAACATGAGATCAATATAGTGCAAGTTAAAAAAGAAAACCAAAACATCAACTACTATCATCGTGGCAAGATGGGGCATATAAAGAGGAATGTCAAAAAGCTCAAGAATGAGCTAAGAGAAGAAGAAGCCATGATAAGGGTAAAAATACTGGTGCAGTTGCAACAGATGGTGAAGTCATAATTCTCCCCGTAGGAGAGGTCTCTCGATGTTGTAAACAGTGACATCGCCTGTAACGCTGATGCAAACGCTTCTTTTCTTGTAATGCACCACAGAAACTTCTTTACTGTTTACAAGGACAATTTGGCATAGCAAATATGGAAAACCATGAGAAATCAAAAAATATTGGAAAGGGAGATGTGTGATCAAAAATAATTTTGGCATTGGCCTTGTACTAAAAAATATAAGGCATATCCCTAAGCTTCACATCAATAGATTGTCTAAAAGACTTTTAGATGATGAAGGTTATGAAATAATACTTTATAAGCAAATGGCAATGGAAGTTGACAAGGGGCTCTCTTACGAGAGTCATGGGTAAGAAGTGTTGTTCTACTTATAGGTCAACAACAGCATACTTGTCCATGGGTGAGGTGAATATTAACTCCGAAGAAGCTTCATCGAATTTGTGGTATAAGAGACTTGGCCATAAGTACAAAGGCATGGAAATATTGGCAAAGAAGCAGCTTCTCTCAGGCATCAAAGGTACAACCCTAAAGTTGTATGATCATTGTTTAATTGGAAAACAACATTGAATTTCATTTCTTAAAAATAGCCCAAAAGGGATCATGTTATTTTGGATTTGCTTTACTGTAATGTATGTAGTCGGTCCTTTGATGTAATAATCACTGGTGGTGCTTCCTGTTTTGTTTCTTCAAAGATGATACCTTTAAAAATTTGAGGGCATATATGCTATGAAGAGGAAGGATGTAGTAATTGAAATTTTTCATAAAGTACAGGAGATTGGTAAGCTTCTAAATGCACAGGCAATGGAGGGCAATACACTTCAAGGTTGATTAAAAGTTATTCTGCTAACGTAAGACATGAGAAAACAATCCCTTAAAGCAACACAATGGTGTGGCTGAGAGAATGAAATAATTGTATAGTCAATTAGAAGAATGATTTCTTCTGGAAAATTACCTAAACCTTTTTGGGGTGAGGCAAAGATTAAAGCTTGATGAAGGCAGTTCAGTGTGTCTTCTAGGGATTTGGGTATAAGTTGTGGGACATTGAGAAGAAGAAAGCAATTTGTAGTTAAAATGTAATTTTTCAAGAAGACCAACCAATTAAAAACTCCTAATAAAGCCCCAAAGTTTTGTAAATGAGTTGCATTGGGGTGAGGCAAAGATTGAAGCTTGATGAAGGCAGTTCAGTGTGTCTTCTAAGGATTTGGGTATAAGTTGTGGGACATGGAGAAGAAGAAAGCAATTAGGAGTAAAAATGTAATTTTCCAAGAAGACCAACCAATTAAAAATTCGTAATAAAACCCCAAAGTTTTGTAAATGAGTTGCAAACCTTAGTCCCCATTTCTCCTCCAAGGCAAAGTGGTGACGATGGGGGAGTAGCTCAAAAAGATAAAGAATCTCGTGTTAGTGGTGACTGGTGAACCCATGCAACATGATGTTGAGCAGGTGCAGCAGCCTCCACAACTCCAAGCACCTTACAGATTTGGTGTGGTAGGTTATTTCAAGCCTCTAAGAGGTATCCACTTACAGAGTATATCATGCTCACTGATGGTTGTGAACCAGAAAATTTTGAAAAAGCCATTTCATGAGAACAAGAGTGAATAGAGGACAGTTATGAAAGAGAGAACAGATTGCATAAAAATCATAGCTATGACTTGGTTCAGCTATCAAAGGGCCAAAACGGAATTAAAAATAAGGATGTCTTCAAGATAAAGTACAATAAGAGCGTGTTTGATAACAAGAAGTTAGAAGAGGAAGAAAGAACTTTACCTATTACTGTTGATGTTGTGTTTGATAAAAAGTGGAAGATAATTTGAGAACTCCCCTTTACTGTTGAAGTTCCCACCTTTTAGGCTCAAGTAAAGTTCTATGGTAAACCATGGAACTTGAAAAGGGAACTTTTTATTTTGTCCATGATATATATATATATATATATATATATAATAGATATATAGATATTCATGAAATGTTTTTAGAACTAGTGGTACAAAAATTTTCTGTCCATGTGAAATTAGGATTACAGTAAAATTTGAATCTTAAAATAGAGCAGTTATATGTTAAAACTGCATTCTTACATGGTGATTAAAAGGAAGAAATTTACATGGAGCAGCTAGAAGGGTACAAAATGAATGGCAATGAACACTTGGCTTGTAAGCTTAAGAAAAATGTATATGGGTTGAAACAGACCCCAAGGAAAAGGTACAAGAAATGTGATATATTTATGGTGAATCCAGGGTACAAGAGAATAGTTGCATGTCATTGTGTTTAGCTAAAATGATTTCCTAGAGGTAACTTTATTATTCTTTTGCTCTATGTTGATGACATCTTATTGTTGGGCAAGATATTCATATGATTGACAGGATAAAGAAAGAATTAAGAAAATTGTTTGATGTGAAAGACTTGGGATAACCAAGACATGTTTTGAGTATGCAGACATATTTTTTAGTATGCAGATATTTATGACAAAAGCAAGGACTTTGTGGTAGTCTTAAAAGCGGTGCATTAGAAAGATGCTTTTAAGAGATCTAATATGAAGAATGCAAATTCGGTTGGCAATCTAATTTAAGTGATAAATAGAGTCCTTCAAGCGAGTGAGAAGAAAGTGATAAAGAAAATTCAATATGCCTAAGTAGTTGGGAGTTTGATGTGCAATGGTGTGTACAAGGCCAACATAGCATATGCTGTAGTAGTATGTAAGCTCCTTGCAAATCTAGGTAGAGAATATTGAGGTACAAACTACTGGATTTTCAAGTAAAAATGTCTTTATGTTTTGGACAAGTGAAGCCTCTTGGAGGGCTTCACAGGTGCAAATATGTCTGGGGATATTGATCCTAGAAAATCAACTTAGGGTCATTTGTTAGTTTTTGCAAAGGGAGAAGTGTCATGGCAATCCAAGTTGCAGAAGTTTGTGGCACTTCCCACAAAAGAAGCACCTGTTACTGAAGTAGGAAGTAGGCAAAGAGGTGTCGTGGATGAAATGATCTCCTGGGAGTCGGGTTGGAAGAAGACGAGTATGCGATTAAGTCAAAGGGTCATACATTTACCCAAAAACCCAATCAATTTGGATGGTTTTTATGTCCCCAAGAATTCAGAAAAATTCATACTATGTCCAGGGTGACATATGCCCTATGTGACTTAGGCCCTACAAAACCATATCATCGGGCAGACCATGATAACCATTATGAATCCTTCAAAAGACCTATGATCTACAATCCATGGTCTTTACATCCTTTGCAACCAGCCCATTAGGTCATCATGACCAATGGACTATGGCTAGAAGAGAGAAATTCATAAGTTTTAGGAAGATTAGAAGCCTGTAGACTCGCAGCCTATTGACTCAACCACAACAAATGTATGTGCAGGTTCATGTTGGGCCAATTTCAGGGTTATAACCCCTGAAATCAACTTGAATATAGTCAATATGATTTTAGGCAGAAGAAACCTCGAGTACAATAGGGTTTCAAGGCTATGAGGCCACAAGGGTATAACTTCAGGAATAGTTGCAGGCCTGTTTTCTTGCTGAAAACATATATACTCAGAGAACATACACCCTGAAAATAACATGTGTAACTGACAGACCTCCACTCATGAATTGGGGCTCAAATGACAATGAAATGTAGCCATTTTGGGACGCAAAGTATGGGTTTATAGTTTTTATTTTTCAGACATTGAGATGAGGATTGAGGCACCTCAACCATTTTCGTGATATCAGATGGTAACAAACTGTTCTAAATTAAAATGCCAGCATGGACTACTCCCCCTTTTCCCCAAACCCTTTTTTTTCTTGCCACCTGCCATTGTTCAACATCTTAGGTCCACTGCTAAAAATGCGGTTGCTAAATTAACCTCCCTTCTATAAATTTCAAATTTGGAAAAGGATAAAGAGTCTAACAATTACGGCCAGTGAGTGATATCTTGAAACTTTTGGGGGAGATATCCTGCAACTACTTGCAACAAAAAATACATGAAATATAATTAGATGGGAGGTGGGGCTTTAAATTCCTCTGGTTTCTTCATAGAGATGGTGGTGGTGTTGATTACTTGCCCCATAAAAACCAATAAAAATGTCAGACATTACGCCCTCCGCTCTTAACACACACAACGAGAGAGAGAGAGAGAGAGATAGAGATTGCCTTCAGCATCAGAGCATCAGTAAGATCACGAAAATTGCAAAAAAAAATAGATCCCGTGATTATTTATTATTGAAGGGGCATTCTTTATCCTTCAGTTACATCCCCACACAATCACCCAATTATCCAGGGGCAGGAATACAAATTTTGTCAAAAAACCTAAAACAAAATAAGAAGGAACAGAAATAAGTGCACTCAACTGATGGAATACGTTTACCTTTTATGACATGTAAAAGAAGTGGACAAGTGTTTCAAGCTCGAAACATCAAACAACTCCATAAACCGCTGATCCGAAACCCTTGCTTTGGCAGCAGCAAAGCGCTGGTATTCATCAAATACCGAGGACAAACACCACCTCTGCAACTTCCTTAAACACCCAACCACACAACCCGTTCGATGCTGCACCCAACATCAAAAAGGACAAAAGAACCCCTGAGAATACAACTACAAAATGTCATTAAACAAAGGGAAAGTATACTATAGTGTAGTGTGTAATGGAAAAACCATATTATGTGATAATCATTGTCGATCAATATGATAGTTGGCAATGGAGAGGAAGCCAGACAGACCCAAATGTCTACTCCCTCTTCATCATTTTAATGGACAGTGATGACCCAGAAGACTATGATTTTTCCATAGCATGTTGGAGTATAACAGTATGCTTTCCCTTAAAATACATGGATCATAAACACTTAGATAGGCACCGCTAACCTTTCCCCTTTTGCAGTGAATCAAAAGTGGGTGATTACAAACATCTGTAAATAACAATGGAAAAGGTAAATGAAAATTGAGTTTCAAAGTACTTTACAGAAATATGTGTTCTTTTTACTTATAAACAAAAATCTCTCCACGATACAAACCAAGTACGACTTTCAGCGCTTCTCGAACTGTTTCCTCTGGAATGTTCACAAAAGGCTCCTGCATGTAGGTCATGGAATGTTTCCATTCAATACAAAAGGTTCAAGAATGTTAAGATTAATAATAGGTTATATGACGTTTTCTGAAAAAGAAACATGTTTCAAATTTGACTGATGAAGCATACCCAAATAAATAGACAAAAGATGTAAAGATTGAAAAGAGATTCCAATATTTACATATTCCCTTGGATGGAACATCTTAACGACATTTATTCAAGAAAAGGTACCACATGAACTGCCTATATCAAAACTTAAAAAAGTTAAATGAGCTTTAACGAAAAAAGAAGATGCCTAATAGCCACCAGTCCAACTAAACTTTAACAGAATGGGCCACATGTTCGCTTAGAACCTCAGCTACATCGCTTGCTTCAATTATAATACAACGAAATAATTCTTGCTCGTTAGCAACTAGCAATTTCATGTAGAAATTGAACCCCGTTAGGGGATCTGCCTATCTTTCCTAAAGCCGCAGTTTGGAAGACAAGAGCATTCAAAGAAAGAGGAGAGGACTCAATTAGAGAATCCACTGTGGAGGCCCTAAGTGCTTCCTAATTAATGAGACCAAACATGTAATGATCACACTAGTTAATGAGACGCAACAAGCTAACGATTACCATTTGACAATCATCAGTGCATCCACTCGATACAGGCATAACCAAATCAAGGCATACTGGCCCAACATAAAGACACAACCTTCTTAAATAATTTGAGTCGATTGAGCAAATATGTAAGAGTCCCAATTTTTTTACAAGAATTATCCTAGGGTAAAAACTACCACCAAACTTAGGCCATTGATTATCTCCTTCAGGGTACAAAATTCCCATAACTCTACAGTCGATACTTTATCATCTATAACAGCTCCTGGCCATGGGTATCATGTTCTGCTCTGAATTGTAAAATCAATAGCTCTTTACACAAATGGAAATTAGGTTCAATAAAACGGAGAATGCCATAGACTGTCTAGATTCGAATAAGAGTGACAATTTCCAAAAGAAAGCATCAAGAACCAATCAAATTTGTCTGGTGGACTCTCAAAATGACTTTTCAAACTTCTCGAGTGTGAGTCAAGAAGTTTTGATGAGATTCATACTAGGGGTTCACCTGAGTTGGTTACAAATCTACAATTCTATCATTGCATAGAATATGATTCTTCTTAGAGTAAACAAGTTTATATTTTTTTCCTTCTTCTACGTAAGTTCAGCTCAAAGTTGGGATGGGGACTGGGATGGGGACTGGGATGGGATTGGAAGGAGCGAGGGATCATGAACCGCTAGAAAACCCCTATAGTTGAGAGTGTCATCGATACAATGCATATATTAGGGATCGAGATCACCAATGTTAGGGATCTCAATCCTCACCTTTTGGGGATTTCAAATCCGAACTTTTGGGATCTTGATGCCAACATTTTACAGATATTGCTCCCAACATTAAAGAGTACACATAATGTAGGACTTTATATGCACATTAAATTAGGGATCTCTTTATTTATAGCCAGCAAGTAATGCACATGTATTGAAAGTACAGTTGCATAACTTGCTGGAGAGAAATAAAGAAAATCATCAGTTTGATCATGATCTTTAAGGTGGGGATTGAGATCTCAGACAATGGGGATATCAGATCCCAAATTTAGAAATCAAGATTCCTTTCATGGAGCACCAGAATGAAATTCAAAAGCAGGGTTGCCACCTAGGCTGGGAGAGAGCAACTATGCTTCAACTCCACAAGTGTTAAATCGATAAGAATCTTGAAGTTCAAGTTTACACCATGTCTTTAAGAATTTCTTTACTTTTTATGGATAATACATTAAACTATATTTCACATTCACATAATTATTTTTACTAATATAAGGTTTTTTGTCATGCATTCTCTACAAATAAGATTATCATATTTTTCTTCATGTACAGATCCACAAATGGAAATATATCAGAAGTGCCTACGTGGAATTTATACATCAAAATGTGAAATACAAATCCTCTCTTTCTTTTATTTCTACTTCTACTTTGTGGAAATTGTTTATATAATTCTAAAGAGAGCATGCCTGAGGCATTCTAATGGAGTATGACAAGAAAGCCATCAGTCTCAGTCTCGTAATGCTCAGAATTTCCCATTTAGGAGTACTCAATGTTTAGTGCGCAATAATACACCATCAGAACATATGCAATCTCTTGAAATGAATTTACAGAAAGGTGTTCTATTACAAGCAACAATCCTGTAGATATTAGCATTTGCAGTAGCATTAATTATGACTAATTTTTCAGTTGTCAGTCTTTGAACACAAATTCTTGATTACTATGCAACTGAGAATTAGTTCCTGGTTGTCTATTAATAGGTTCTTGATGTCTCTCACTCTCTAAGGAATGGAAGATAGCTAAGCATGGAACCTTGGACAATTAAGATAACATGTTCAAGGAATTAAGTAAATGTCTTATGACAGATTAGCAACTGGCTTAGGATTAAAAGCCAACAAAGTTAAATTACAACCTCAAGTCTGAATGAACTATGGTAAGGAATAAGAAGGTAATATCTGGACACAGCTTTAGTCACAAAATATAACCAACAATCTAAGACTCTTTTCAATTAAAGACCAATCAATAGAACAAAGAAGATACTCGAAGCAAACAATCATACATGGGAAATACCCCATGCCACTGAAAGACGTTCTGAGTGATAGTAAGCCACAGCCTGTAAATAATAGTAAGACAGCTAATAGTAAACCACAGCTTGTAAATCTTTTCATATGTGGGAACCTTCTATTACAATTGCTTCCATTTAGGTACATGCATTTGTTTAGGCTTTCCAATGGGAGCACTGAGCACCTTCTCATGCAAAATTCCACCAGGGAGCACTGAGCACCTTTTCTATTTAAGTATATGAATTTGCTTGTGCACCACAAGAATTCATAATAACCACTTGCGCCATGCCCTCAACCAATGTTTTCATCAAGTCAGCCCCTTAAAAAGTAAAGTAACAAGAAAAGATTGTATTCCCGGATAATTTTCCATAATGCAAAGGGTGGGCACCAAGATACAACACCCATTGAAAGTCATAATTGAAACTTAATAACATATGGCTTCTACAGCACTGCTTTCCTGATTGATTTGTATCTCAAATCTGTGATTAGAGACACAAAAGTTTCCATAGAAAAAGTAGGTTCAAGTAATTTTGGTATTCACTCCACATGTAATATTCATTGAGCACGTCACAACTGAAGTAAAACTAATGCAAATTGCATAAATATCTCTTGTCCATTCCAGTCAGAAACCATTTACATTTAAGTTTGTTCAAGACTCTAGGAGCATGTACAGGACAAATCATAGATCAGCTCATTAGAAAAACAAATAAATGGCATCAGTGCACTGACCCAGTATGAGTGAGAATTGAAAGAGAAATGATAGACTTCTTTGACTCAGCCAGGTCAAGTGACTCAAGCAACTCCTAAAACTTGCATAAACTAAAAATAAAAAGCGGGTTTATTTGGTTTACCACACATCCATTTAAGGTTTGCGATGGAACCAAATGATTCCCAACCATATGCCTTTCACCTAAAACTAACCAATTCTATTCCCTCTCAAACAAAAACAGAAGAATAAACAAAGGTTTTGTTTAAAACCTTCCCTTCTAAAAAAAAAAAGAAAAAAATAAGACAACGCTAAATTTGAAAGAAGGGAGGGAGGGACATTTGGTTTTTTTATTGGTTGGGGGGGGGGGGGGAAGGGGGAGGGGGAGGGGCGAGGAGACTTTTGCTCTATTAAAATTTACAAGCTTGAAAGTTTGAGCAGGTTTGAGAGTAGTAAACCCTGTGCTGTTAGCTCCCTATAATTATTCTCAAGATATCCGACACTTTTGCGTCTGTTTGCTCATTTTATCATCTTGATTCATGCAATTAACAGCAAATAAACTGACTCTTATCATGTCAAGAATAGGTTAATAGAAGCGTTAATAAACAAAATAAATTGTTAATTATCATGTCAAGAATAGGTTAATAGAAGCATTAATAGCAAATAAACTGACTCTTATCATTTTCTTCATTATTAATAGAAGCCTCTGGTCATCCACTCATAACTAGCCATTTCCCTTCCTCTTTTTCTCTCACTGCTTATGTTAATAAATAAATACCTATCCCAAAGACTGTAATTTTAATGAACTATCTGCTAGTTTGCAATAGTTGAGGTTCAAATTTGAGTGGGTTAACGCAGCCACCCTTCCTATTTCTTACTGTTCATAAAATTTTAAAAATATCAGTTGCGCAGCAGCTTTAATATTTGCAAAATCCATACTATAATTTTATCGAACACTTGGCAACTATGCCAGCCTATGCCGCATGGCCACCAACAACTATAATTTATATTGTCTTCTCCTCCATATGTAAAATGTATTGTACATGACTGTATGTCTGAAACTATAATATCTATATAAACTGAACGAATATATTAATATCCTAACATCCATGTACCAAATGTTAAAGATTTGTTTGTAGATTGGTAATCTAATAATGAACATGTTACAAATAAATTATAGATATTAATTAATACATCGGATGCCCCAGTAACTACCTAATGCATGATGGATGGGATAAGCATATGCAGGTCCATGAACAAGAAAAATGTTTCAGTGAACGAGAGAGCCAACATGAGATCCATGATATGGAAAAAACACAGCAGATTCCAAATCACCCTACAACTTCATATGGTTTGTAAAACCATTCAGTGGGAGAAAAGATAAAAGAATTTATTTAAATGGAAATATGGGTTGACAATGTGAAATTGATCATTTCGAATTACGTGAAATTTTACAGTTGCAATTTTTTATACCTATATAAGTGGGAGATTCAACCCACAGCAATAATTCTCTTCTTTTAAATATGAGACAACAACCACTAGAACAAGATAAGAAACGTTGAAAACTGATACATAACTTGATTGACAAGAAAATGAATCTCAACAAAAAGAACCACTCGAACAAGATAAGAAATGTTGAAAACTGATACATTACTTCTTTGACAAGAAAATGAATTTCAACAAGAAGAACCAGCAAAAGAATAACCTACTCAACTATTTCTAGCATAGATCAAACCACATCTTTGTCAAACAACAGAAGTAATGAAGAAAAAGATGGAAAGGCATTTAAGACCTAATCTAACGATACAATTTTACACATCTAACAATACAATTGAACCATCCCCTGGGTCAAAAGGAAGACTCACAATTTACTCCTCAAACATCAAACTCAACAACGCAGTTACGCGCATCTATATAAACAAAAAATAATAAAGACTAACACTGATAAGATCAAGAAATGAGTAAATTCTGAAGCGATGTGACTTTTTTTTGTTTTTTTTGGTAATCCATTTGTTGAGAATAGAAAAGCATCAGATGGCAGTGTTAAATAAATCTCTGACAACAAAAACCAAGAAACTTGAAATGCATAATATAAAAATGCAGAGATTTCAAATTCAAAACTACATGAACTTTGAAAAACTATTCTCGTGAAAATACAAGATAATCATTAAATATCCAAAATTCAAGGAGAAGAAGAAGAAGAATAGACCTTACAGCCTTCTATCCCAAAGTGGAAAAGTTTAATCCCATTCGATCTAAGAAAAGCTTCATTGGATTCAGGATAAGGCTCTGGACAAAGGTATCTGCAAAAACCCAAGAAAGAAAAAGAAATCACTCAAAGAGGCAAAAATAAATACGAAAGAGAAAGTGCAACTAAATGGATTGCCACAAAAAGCAAGAGGGAAAGAAGATAATTAGAAATGGGAAGAAAAATTCACTATCTTTTAGTTATGCAAAAAGAGAGAGAACTCATCAACAACTGGAAAAATAACTAAAAGGGAATTAAAAGAAAGTGGAAAAGAATGAACAATATCACAGAAAATAAAACTGGGTACAGAGAAGTGAATTTTTTACAGAATGGAGCGAAGGCCGAGAGTTTCAAGGAAAGAGAAATTCGTAATGTCTGGAAAACCAGAGCGAAAGACACCGTGATCGACCATGGCAAAGTTGAGAGGAGGTACGAACAAGAGCTCTTCCCCTTCCTTTTCTCCCTCTACAATCTCTCTCCCCATGTCTCTCATCACCACTCTGCACAATCCAAATCACAAGTTGATGAACTCTCTCACTCTCCAACAAACCCAATCAAACCTCACTGAATTCTCAGTCTTTCTCTCTCAAGAACACAATTGAATGCGAATGAGAACTCCCTCTCAAGAACCCAATCAAGCACCCATGAACTCTCAACAACCCTTTCTTACACAAAACCCACTGTTTAAACACCAAAACTCACTCCCCCTCTCTCTCAAAAAAAAAAAAACCACAATTTAAATGCTAGGAACTCCCTCTCTTTCTCTCTCTAGAGAACGAAACCTTGTACCACAAAACCTCGTAAAGTAATCCACAGAGCAACGATAAAAGCGAGGAATCAAACCACCCCACTACTGAATATCCTGATTGCGACCAAACGTTTTTAGCCGCTCCTTTTTCCATTCAAAAACCAAAGCAGTCACGGATGAAACAGACTGCCAAAAAAAACACGGCGAGAGTTACAAAAGAAGAGAGAGTGTGACGGATTTAGAGGGAGAGAGTGTGCGTTAAGCATTCACGGCAACTAAGAGAGGGTAAAAGAAGAGGTTTTTTATACGACCTAGGCTCTAAACAATCATATTAGAACGTATCTCAAAATTTTCACTAGAAGTGGTTGTTTTGATGTTTAAATAATCAAATATCTTTAAATTGATCATCTCGACACCAAGATGTGTGGTTGTTTTGATGTTTAAATAATCAAATATCTTTAAATTGATCATCTCGACACCAAGATGTATAGACTTGAAAAAAATATAGATTTCAAGTTTTGGAAATAGTGTATCTCATAAGGCATTTTTAAACTGTCAATTTTTAAGGCATTTATATTATTTTTTAAGCTTTAAATTTTATAATTAAAAATCAAAATATGTTTTAAAGGTAGGCAAAAAATTTTAGTATTAAAACCATATTTCTCAATACTATTTGAAGGTGGCACTAATTTCATTGTTTAGAGCCTTGGCTCGAAAAAAATATCATGGGTAGATTTTTGTATAGAGCCGAGCGTTAAACAATCAAAGTAAAGCTCACCTTCAAATAGCGTGGAAAAATGTGGTTTCAATACTGAAAATCTTTATGGCAGTCTTAAAATATGATTTTGTTGTTAATTATGAAAAAGTATAAATCGAACTATCTATAAAAACTTAAAAATCTTTAAATTAACCGTTAAAAAATACATTACAAAATACATTAATTTCAAACTTGAAACCTATATTTTTCTCTGCCTATGCATCTTGATGTGATCAATTTGATGACATTAAGCATCAAAACAACCTCTTCTAATGAAATTTTTGAGATCAGCCCTAATTTGATTGTTTAGAGCCTCTTGTTAAAATAAACTTCTCCTAAACGTAATAATCATAAAGAAATAAGCAAAAAGGCAGAAAGCGGCTTCGGTTTTTGTTTGTTAGAGAGAGAAAGGAGAAATTGAGTTAGAGAGAGAGAGAGAAAGTAAAAAAAAGGTATGGTGTCTTTCATATGTCACGGAGATTTTTAGCACATTCGACGAATATCCTTCCCTTTTGGCATCATGTGTCAGCGTCTCCTCTGTGTTTCTGACATGGCAAAATGGATATCCTTTGCAAATTCTTTGGGCCCGTATAGTCTGCTTCCACTGTACACAATTTTGTCTTCAAGGAAAATAATTCTGGCTGACAAGGGCCGCCCGGACTTAAAAAAATTGGCCCTGGGCCACGAAATGTGGGCCGAAGTTTGGGCCTACGCCAGGTCCAGGTTGGTCTGTCTGCCCCTGTAATTCCCCTTCATTTTTTTAGTGTTTTGTATTAGGCGGGCAAGGCCACCACTGGCTCGGCCCCGGCCCAAAAAGAACTACCATAATATAGAGAAATTACTTTAGAGTATTTGTGGAAAAGTAAATTTAAATTTTCTATCAATAAAGTAAATTTAAATTTTGAATTCCTAAACACTTAGATTCCGTGGTTTAAAAAACGGATCGGTGCTCCCGATCGGGTATCCCAAAAACCCATCCTGATCGGTGAATCGGCGTTTCAGATCGGAAATCGGTTGAATTCAACCTTAAAAAAATTTAAAAAAATTATTAAAAATCATTATAAATGTTGGTTTTTAAGAATCCAATAAGATATGAGGGTATTACATTAATAACTTTTATTTTTTTACATCAATATATGAATATTGAGATATTCTTTTCCTGTATGAAGATTCTCATCAAACATTTATTAAAACCTAACTAAATACAATATTATACATTGAAATTAGAATTAATTGGTTTGTATTTTATTATTTTATCATCATTTTACTATATAAATAAGAATAAATTAGAAATTTGTCTTAAAATATTATTTAATTTAAAAAATCTAATTTACAACCATAACAAAACATAATACATTGCATAATTCATAATGTAAATAAATTAATAAAT